GTACACATTGTATGTTTATGTTGAAGGCAATAAAGCCGTGTTTGTTGTTTAAATGCTCTGAGGCAAAGATACAGGGAGTGGAATTGATTGTAGGAGCTGGGCTGGAAGGGCTCGAAGGATCAAGTCCAACCAAATCACCTACTTCCTGCTAGAGCAGATGGAACTCTGGGTGAAAGGTACACTTTGGTCTCCCCAGTCATGGACACCTCACTGTTTTAGAGAAGAGCCACTGATCTTAGAACAGATGTCTACAGTTATTAAAGGTACTTGCACCTAAACTCATTTTGCAGGACCTAACTTTGATGCATCTTTTTTTCTTTGGGATTGTAAAGTACTAATCTCCAGTGCTAGGTTATTCACGTTCATATTTTTGTATTTGATGTTAGTTTTATGATAAGATATAAAAAGGACATTTTCTAAAGATATATCAAGAACTACTGGTTCTAGGTGACAAATTGTAATGTATTTGGAGAAAAATAATTAAAAAATGGTTTTTGGACCTGGGAGCAAGCATCTGACCTGAATTTTAGGACTCTACCAAATATTAATCTTAAAGTGAGGATGCTATATTTTCTTCCACGCATTTTGCCCAAGGCCACTTGACCTAAAGACCACAATGAAGAGAAACTAAAAATGACTGAATGAGAAGTGGATCAGCTGCTTTGGGAGCTTTTGCACAGAGAGAGAGAGAGAGAGAGAGAGAGAGAGAGAGAGAGGCATAAACACACACAAACACATACTATACACACATATAACATACCATATATACAAACATGCGTACACACCACACCACACAGCAAGAGAGAGAAACATATAAACACACACTACACACACATATAACATACCATTTATACAAACATGCACACACACACCACACACACACACACACACACACGCACATACACACATACCGTATAGATTAAGTTTAGTTGACTTCATAAAGAGAAAACTAACCATTGAATCTAGTTGCTATTAAAATTAGCTCCACACAAAACAGCGACAGCAGTGTTAACATAACCCTAGGATTTCTAGGCTCTTTACTAACTGGTAACAGGAGCAGAAGGAAAAGAGTAAGATGAACAGTCTGTGTCTTGCGGACAAAAACTTGGGTAAAGTTAATAAAGAGAGCGCGTAAGTCTCCACAACATTAAATTCATACCATTAAAACTAATCTCAGGATACCTTCAATCCAAACACCTTTCTGCCCTTCCTGTGTCTCCTGTCTTCACATTCCACATTCTCCTCTGTTGCTAGGTACCCTGGGCAATCTTGTTTCCCCAGGCTCTAAGTGCTGTTTTTCCTGTGACTGGGTACCCAGGCTGAATCCTTGATAGAACTGACACCAGCCTGGAGGTGAGACTGAAATCCCTCCCACCCATACAGCATCTCCAAACACCAGTCTCTTCTTGGAGCAGCCGTTTTTACCCACTAGCCAGTCACCAGTCTGGATGGAGTGAACTGAGCTGGATAAGAAAACAGGTGACTCTGGAGAGCAGTGATTTGATGCCAGTTGATTGTGATAAACCAGAGCCTTTAAATATAAGCAAAATATGTTTAAAGAGGAGACAGGCTAAGAACTGCTAATGCTGTTGTATGAAGCAAAAAGATAAAAACTCGCTAACTTATCTTCCATTTAATGTTTATTCACAGCTGGATATTGATTTTTTTCTAAATGAAAATGTCAAAACTTCTTTTCAAATTTGATTTTTGAAACATTTCATGGGCTGGTATTAACTATTTAAATTATAGGATGTGTAAATATATCTGCTACAAATGAATGCTGGTCACTGATTCTGTTCCTTATAAAGCTGGTTACTTAGGAATGAAATGTATTAAACCTTTGAATTTAGTTACCTTGGTAACACCCAGAGGGAGCCACTCTATTTAAAACTATTTCTTGTCTATTGTTTATATTTTAAATGGAAATTATAATTAAATGACATGTGTAAAAGAGTCCAAAAATGGTGATGGTCATCTAAAAATAATGAGTAAGTATACTCAATGAACTAGGTCTTCATTGTGATTTATAGTTTAAAAAACCAGAATGTTTACTTTTAAGTATAAATTGGATTTGCTTTATACTAAGATGGATTTGGCATTAAAATATGTTATATTTAGGTGTTTTATTCCATATTGATTAAGCTTTCTTACTGAAATGTTCAATATATTTTTAGAGGATTTTAGGGAATAAATATTAGATCAAGTTTTTCTTTTTTTATTGTTTTTATTTTTGTGTATGAGTGCATTGCCTGCATGAGTGTAAGTATACCTGTGTGTGTGCAGTGCCCGTGGGTGTCAGAAGAGGGCACTGGATCCCCTGGAACTGGAGTTACAGATATTCATTAGCCACCATGTGGGTGCTGGGAATCAAACCTGGCTCCTCTGCAAGAGCAAGTCAGTGCTCTTAACCACTGAGCCATCTCTCGAGCCCGATCATATTTTTCTTTAAGGACTAAATAATTGTGTTTAAATATGTCCATTATTCTTTCTTTGAACTTTCTTTGAAAGAAATGACTAAGAAAATGAGAAATAATCTTATATATTAGCATAAGTACTTCAACTAAAATAAAATAGCAATTTTCCACATCACTTATACAGGTCATCCCTCTAATTTTATCTTTTAAAGTGCTGGACAACTGACTACTTTGGGGTAAGGGAGGTTATCTTCTTTAAGGGAGAGATTCTACACAGGCTGACTAGACTCCAGTGGATGATGAGCTCCCCTGAGGGATCTCTGGGTACAAATGCTTCAACCGATAGGCCGTAACATATATGACAGAATTCATGAAATTCGGTGTGGGAGTTGGGGGATCTATGGGAGGTGCGGATAGGGGAAGGGGTCTAAATTTGATTAAGATCTATTATGTAAAATACACAAAATCTCAATAAAATATACATACAATTCTGGTTATTTCATTGGTATAAATTAAGCTTGTTTTCTCAGATTAATAGCTGTGGGAACGATTGTGGTATTGCTTATTAACAGTTTCTTTAGATTTCCTGGGTATATTTTCTCTGTGCATAACTCTGTTACTGAATGGGAATATAAAATGTGTGATGTAACAGAATTTTCCCATTTGAACGTTTCAGTTTTTCACAAAATTGTTTTTATTTTTTAGTCATTTTGTTGAAATTTAAACTAAATTCCTTTCCCCTTCCTTCCTTCTTGGGGACCTGGGCTTCCTCCTGGACTCCTGACTGTCCCGTTTCTGGTCATAACTCTTCTGAGCTTCTTTCTCACCCTCCCTCCAGTCCGGCCACTGCTGCATCTAAGCCTTCAGAGATGGCAGCTTTGGTGGCTTTCAGATCTTGGAACTGACACCTTCATACCTTTCTTCTCATCGGAGTCAGAGTAATTTCCTTAAAATATGCCTTTTAAGCCAGATGTGTGCCTATATCCAGCACTCAGAAAGAAGGCTGAGGTAGGGACAGGATCCTGAGTTTGAGGCCAGTCTAAGCTATGTGGAAAGCAAAAGCAAAATAACCAGCAATAGCACGAAAACTATATTTTCCATATCACTTCCCCAAACAAATTCAAACTGTTCATATTTACTCTGAGTAAACTCCCAGCTCGCTAACAGCCGGGGGCTTCCCCTGGAGGTGGCTTCCTTCCGTTCACATTTCATCCCGTGCTCAGCCTGCTGATCTTCCTTCTCGGGTACTCTGGATAGACTTCGAGGACATGCGCAGGCTGAACCCTCTTCCGTACTTGGTGGATACTCGTGATCTTTTGGGGCTCAGTTCCCATCTCCATTGTCCCTGAGATCTTAGTTCCTTCTTCTACATCACAAATGTTTTTCTCTGTATTTTAATTTCGTATTTAAACAGTTTTGGGATTTTTTTTTTTTTTTTTTTTTTTTTTGTTAACTCATTGAACACAGTGTCTCCATAGGCCAAGTATTTAACAACATATTGGGCACAGGGTAGACCTAAGACAGGTCTGTTGGGTAAATAAAGGAGCAAGCCTCTAGTCAAATTTCAAATATTTATTTTCATGGATGTAGCTGATTAGAAAGCATTAACTATTACATTAAATCCCACAAAATAATGTTTGCTAATATCCAGAAATGATGCAGAAATCACTGTGTACATTAGCCCTCTCATTCATCTGTTGTCTTACATTTAATATTCATTATTGACCTTTAAAAGAAATAGCTTAACATATCAGCTCCCCATAGCCCTTAAGAGTCAATAGTAAATGTTATGTAAGGAAAATAGAATGTGATTGTGTGTCTATGTATTTGTTTTCCTTTTACAAAACTGAGTTCAATTTGGCTCCACTGACTCCCATTTAATACTTTGGGAATCCTATTTCCCTATCTATTCGGATGACATAGAAGTAAGGGCACAGTATTCTAAATACTCCATTTATTAACCAGTTTTATCTCTTTGTAAATTCATGTCACCTTTGAATGTTTTTGCTATTCAGACCAACACTGGTTTACATGTACTTTAACTACACAGAGCTTCACAAACTGATTAAACTCTCTAGGCATAAAAGTCCCCAAAGTATAATGCCTAGAGCAAAGATTATGAGTGGTTTGGGTATTTTACATGAATATTAAACACAAGGCGTGTACCAACGTGCCCATTGGATAAGAGATGACTTTTATTAGTGAATTGTTCCAAACCTGGATGTTCTCACTGGAGGAATCAAAGCAATTTGGAAAGCAATTGGTAATTGCCTTACTCTCTCTGTTAAATTGACTTTTCGTTGAGATTACACTTGATATTGAACTATATTTTATCTTCTTTATTTGATTCTTTATTTGATCTTTATTTGATTCTTTATTTGATTTCACTTTTGTGCTTCACGGTGTCTGCTAGATTTAAAAAAAAATAACAGTTGCTGCTTCAAAACAAGATTATTCCTTAGCTAAATTATGTATACAAATAAAATCAGTGGCACAATGCTGCACTTAGAGTCGGAGCTTGGGAAAAGGTAGCTGGAGATGAACAGCATGTTAGTAAAAATCAAATTTTCTTTCTTGCCAATAGATGACTCTGCTGCAGAGAGCTTCAATGGCAATGAGACGCTGGGACATAGCTCAGTTACTTCAGGGGGAACGCACGGCAGGGAGATGGGTGACCCCAGCATTGACGGCAAAGCTGGGCTGGAGCAGGATGAGCAGCCACTGAACCTGAGTGACAGCCCCCTCTCTGCACAGCTGACTACTGAATACAGGATAGATGACCATGGTGGTGACGGGAAAAACAAATACAAGAATCTTCTAACGTCTGACCTCAAGATGGAACGGGAGACACGAGAAAATGGAAGTAAGGTAAGCGTGTATGACAAATGTTGGGCAATTTTCAGGTGAAGCATGAAATAAAACACACACACACACATACACACATACACACACATACACACACATGATGAAGATTTTATCAAGAAAATGTGTAAAAATAATCCCCATACTATATCACTAAGAAACTTAGAACTGCATGTTACCTGTTCACAAAATCTAATCTCAGGAATAACAGCAAGCCAAGTGAAAAGAGTTTCAAATTGTGGGTCTTATTTGATACACAGAATTGTTTGATTTAGTGTATTTCATTGCAATAATCCACTTATGAATCTGTCTCTGGGAATTTGCCAAGTACAAGTGTTAAAAGTTTTATCGCAGTACACAGTTTTGAACTATAAAAAAGTCACTATCTTGTTTCTCAAGACTGGATAGATGTATGTAGCAATAAAGCTTCAATTAAATTCTCCAGTTTGCTTTGGAGACCTGGAGGTTTCATCCGTAATTTACTTTACGGTCACTAGAGACCTGTGAGGTGTCAGTGTCTAGGATGAAATTTGCAGATTAAATATGTACAGAGAGGAGTAACATCAGTAACAGATTTCGGACATATTATCTAATTTCTCGATTATTGACATTAAACTAAATTACAGCCTTTCCATTCTCAATTACTTTATTTTAAAAAATAACCTTAAACTTTTGGAAGCTTGAAAATGTTCACACAGTAAACTTCCTATGTTTTGAAGGTTTTGAAGGTATATTTTGGAACACAACTGAGGCTTTTGTGATATGATCCTTTTGATGTCGGTCCTTCATCCCAAAGTCTAAGATCTAGTTGTAGAACTGGCTTTTGACATAGATTCTATAAGCAAAATGTCTCAATCTGAATTGATTTCTCAATTTATGAAGGCATGATGCCTCTAAAATTGGTGCTGTTTAAATCCCCTTGCCAGAAGGCATGTTGCTTTATCCTTATAGGCAAGTTACTCAGTATTATCAGACACTTAAACGCTTCTGCCTGAGGTATCCCACTGCAGCTTTTGCTCTGGTGAGTGCACATATAGATTTTTGCTGATTTAAAACTATATCACACAAGTATAAATGATTTCGTATTTGTGAATATGATTTGAAGCACTGCATACGTTTAACTGAATAGAATGGCATGTTTTCTTGTGTGCTACATTGCCTTGTCTTCATAGAGTTAATCATGAAACATAATAATATAAACACAAACAGACCTATGACCTTCCCCATGAAGCTCCCTGAATTTTCCTGATTTATACTTAAGCCTCTTGGAATCTTTACTTTTCTTTTAAAAAATATTTTATTTATTATTATTTTTCCATTTTATGTGTATGAGTGTATTACCTCTATGTGTGTAAGCATACTCATGTCATGTAATGCCCACAGAGGTCAGAAGAGGGTGCCGGGTGCCCTGGAACACTATAGATGGTTTTTAGCTGCTGTGTGAGTGCTAGGAACTGAACCAGGTCCTCTGACAGAGCAGTCAGTGCTCTTAACTGCTGAGCCATCTCTCCAGACCCTTCTTTACTTTTCTAACAAGGATATCATGAGGATCAGTAGAGTTACAGGCCCTCTTTCTATCTTTCCCAATACTGTCCCAAATAAATTTATTGGACACATTTTTCATATCATTTGTCTACACTTTGGAAGACATGATTTCATCTTCTTTAGGATTTGTGGGACCTTCATGTTCTAAGCATAATAGGACTTCCATATCTGATTCCTGAAAAAGCAACCCACCACTGTAGTCTTGACAACATGAACTTCAATCAAGTTCTGCCTCTTTGGTCATTCAGTGGATTTCATTGTTGAGCAAAATCCATGCCAAGAATGTAGACAATTATATCCTCAGTAATTAGCTTGAATTCTCTAAAAACTTCATCAATTTTCAGATTAGCAAAACTCAGTTCAAAGCACAACCCTTCAGCGAATCAGATTTGATTTTCATTCCTTGAGTCCTTGAAACATCTGTTTGTTCCAATAGTTCTTACATTGAACAGAGCTGGGGCATTCACGTCATACCTAACTTTGTTTGGAAACAACTCTCTTCTGGCTCCACTTGCCGCTTGGTTAAGACACATGTTCTTGCCAAATGCCATGGTGCTGTGTAGAGAGCCCAAAAGCAACACTTTTGGTATGCGTTTGTTAAATTCCATATCTAGGATTATCTTTGGTTTAGATTCTCCCCACCCCCTTGTTCAGCATTGTTAGAACACATGCTAATTTAAAGGTATTTATTAATAATTTTATGTTAGGTGTTGCTTATTTCTAAGCATAGATTTTAGGTGTTCTTCACATACACACATACACACACATTGCATGTGCACATACCTGTGTGCACATGCACACACACAATGCAGGACCTCATAAAAGGTGGTGGGTTTGTAAAACTGCTTACCTACATCTCTCTTTCTAATGTAATATGTGTATGGAAATACTGTGTGGAGACACATGCCTGTAATCTTTCAGGGCATTGAAGCAGGAGGATCATGAGCTTGAGGTCAATCTGGGCTATATAGCAAGAACCCAGTCTCAAAAAGCCACAGTGAAATAAGGAGGAGAGAGAGAGCTAATGCACCCCTCAGCTCTCCATTTACATCAGAGTGTGATGCACACAGAAGGCCTCAACTGACCACGTTTTGGAAAATAAGAGTCTGTATAGTGTAGCATGGGACTCCTATATGGAATCTCACCTACCCATGGCTCAGGGACCATGCGGAAGAGGAGGCGGAAAGATTGAGATAAGAGCCAGGGCTGGTTCATGAACATAAGGAGGCTTCCAGGCCACTGGAGTCTTGCTCATGTGCACCTGTGGCAGTGGTGGCATCAAACACAGGACTTATGTCAGCTCAAATAAACAAGGGCCCAAAGGGGAGGTGAGAAATACGTGGTGGGTCAGCACTAGATTGAGAACTATTTGAGACTGATTGCTGCTGGGTGAGGGAGAGTGTAACATACATATGACCACTGGATGGGCTGACTAGACTCCAGTGGACGCATTTGCACTGAAGGACATTTGGGTACAAACACCTGAGTGAATAGGACTCAGCATGTATGGCAGAGTGCATAGAGTTCAGTGGGGATAGGGGGAGGCATGGATGGGGGTAGGGGTCTGGATGTGAATGGGAAATATTGTATGAAATTTTAAAAGCTCCATTTTAAAAATCCATAAAATAGATAAATAAATAAAAATAAAGTAGAACATCATGTGGGACAGCTCAAAGTTACACAATTAAAATAGCTGGCACAAGTTTGTCAGTGAACTAGGTGGAAAAACAGTGCATAGAAATACCAGTCTTTGTAAGACACTTAACACGTGGTCCTGAGACAGGCTATGAATGAGGGTAATGTGATTATAAATACGGAGAAGTGTTTATTCCTACTGGAGTTAGAACAATGTGTTGGTATTGGAATGATCCTCAAGACAGTCTTCTTAGGAAAAGAAGGAAATGCGAGATCATCATTTTTCTTCAGGAGTCTCCTGCTAGACACTAAAAAGGGTTTGTAATACAGACTGAGGAGAGAGCTACCTCAGGCTAGGGAGCCATTGTCCATTCTGAGCTGGGCAGAGCTTCACAACAGGGCACGTGAACCTGTCATTATTATGTATGGTAATTATTTGAGAGCAATTTATTTCTCTAATATTTAATGAAGTTTCTGCCTACAATGTATTATTTTAGAAAGAAAAAAATATAAGTAAGCAAACATGGCTTCCTTCAATAGCTGAGGATCCAGCAGAACAGAAAAATAAATGTGTGGTTCTCATCTCAATGTTTAAGGGGTACAATGGGCAAACGGGCAGGATGGGACCGGAAAACAGGGTCAGCACCAAGGGACAGTAATGATGCCTGTTTTGAAAAATGTGCTTCTTTCTGTTTTATGTGTATGAGTGTTTGATTGCATGCATGTATGTACACCGTGTGTGCCTCTTCCCTGCAGAGGCCAGAAGAGGAAATCAGATGCCCTGTAGATGAGTTACAATCAGTTGTGTGCCTCCTTGTGGGTGGGAAGCTAAGCCGTTCCTCTGGAAGGGCAGCAGCAAGTGGTCTTAACTGCTCAGCCTTTGACAGTAATGAGTCTTAATGGAGATTCTGTAGGAGAAGTGCTTCCAGACGTGATTGAGGAAGGGAAGAGGAGGTGTTCTTATGGGGAGGGTTAATCATATGGAGGGTTAAGCCTGTCTGTTTGTTTTGAGACAGGATCCCATTCTGCAGCTCTGACTAGGCTGCAACTCATATGTTGACCAGGCAGGCCTCAAACTCACAGAGATCTGCCTGCCTCTGCCTCCCAAGTGCTGGAATTAAAGGCATGTTCTGCCCTGCCTGGCAGCGTTAAGCCTATTTTGAGGCATTCATCCAAGAGCATGAATGCCTGACTTGGAGATTCCCAGGGATCTTAGAATGACCACAGTGGAGTGCAGGAGGCCAAGTACCCCCTGTTCAAGGCATTCTCATACTTTGGAGTGATCATTATTAAGCATGTTAAGAGTTAAGCATGATAAAGCTGTCATCCACTTCGCAGTTTATGAAAACTATTCTGGTATCATTATTGCTGATGAATAAGATACAAACTAGGAGGAAGGAAAGAGAAATTTGGGTAGAGAGCTACTATGCAAGTTTTAAGAGCGAAAATGGCAGCTGGACTCAAACAGCAAATACAAAGGTAAGAAGAGACAGTGAAAAAGAACGACTTTTTTTGCATTTTTCCTGTGTGTGTGTGTGTGTGTGTGTGTGTGTGCAGTGCACATGTGTGTATGTATGCTTGGATGTGTGGGCACACGTGTGTGAGTACCTGGACACATGTATGCATTTGCATGTGGAGGCCTCTGGTTGGTGTCAGGAATCACCTTCCGTTGCTCTTCCATCTTACACATGGAGTCGGGATACCTTGTCCTACCTAGAGCTCACCCCATAGACTAATTCTACTGCTAGCCAGCTTGTTCTAGGGGTCCCCTCTCTCCCCTTTCTGAGGATGGAATCACATGTGGGTCAACACACCCACTCCAATCA